ATATATATATATATACATATATATATCTGTCTCTTATACACATCTAGATGTGTATAAGAGACAGGTACTGTATGTTTGTTTTTCCTTTTTATTACTTTCAATGTACCTTGGATATTATGTTATATTAATGAAAAAAAACATAATAGTCTTTTGTATACATTAATTTTGTTGCAGAAACTGTGAATGTGAAAATATGTACAATTTTTAAAAATCTTTTATATATAAAAATACATTTCAAAAAGCCAACCCAAGATTTCTCGAGGTTTGGATTTGTCGAGCACTGTCAAGAAAGAATTTTTGTTAAACAATTAAAATCAGATATGCCCACTTACGTTATTTACTGCCAATAATAACACCCTCATTTCTTCAAACCGATCTTGGGCCCTGAAGGCAAAAAAAAAAAATATGCTCACTACATGGAAAATACTGTCGTTAGCCACTGCCTTTCCTAGATAAAATTCGTATGTAGAGACTAGGACAAGAACTTATTTGTAACAGTAAATACAACCTAGGAAAATAAATTTCTTTTAAAATTAATTTTAATTTAATTTATGCAATCAATAAGATAATAAATTGTTTATTTACTTTTAGTAATCTAAACAAAATTATATCATTTGCTTGTTTTGTGAAAAAATATATATAAATTAACTTTTTGTAAAGGATGAAATTTCTTTTTTTGCAAGAATTTTTGTATTAAGAATTACAAAAAGGTCACTAAGTTATTTTAGTTACATGTCAACTTATTATAATACCATAAATAAATTTAGTTTAATTTTAAAGTGGGTAAAGAGGAGCATGTGTCTTTAATAAATATAACCTGTTATAATTTATTATAACTAAATATTCAAATAGTTTTATCTGGCCCGGGATTTATCAATCTCAGCTTAGCAAATGTCTTAAGTAAAAAAAAGTTAAGATGTCTCTAATAAATGTCTTAAGCTGACTTATTACCCAATCTTAGCAAAATCCTGGGTTAAAAATTGGCTTAGATGACGCCAGAGTACAATCAACTTTTTAATAAGCAATTTTTAAGCTAAGCAATATGGATAAATTTGACTTAAGCAAAAAATGGACTTAAAACGAATTTAAGCTGGTTTACTTAATATTGTATAACTGTTTTGATTGTTAATAATCCAAACAGAAAATGAATGTTAACTTATTGTGAGCTTTCGTTGATGTTAGTAACATGACTTGTCACGCTATGTGAGCTAGCATCAGTTGTGTTGGCATTGTGTAAACAACGCCCTCTGTTGCCAGCTGTAGTACACCCACCCAAAAGACGAGCTCGCAAAAGAAAACACATGTGGACCCCTATAAAAAATTGGTTGTCGAAACTTCGAAACTGTGACCATGTTTATATTGGGGAAACGGGTAGACCCTTAAAAAATGGAACATGACACAAACATAAGGCTAAATAAAATAAATTGTCTGTTTGCCCTTCTATTTAAAAAAAAAAAAGATAAATAGTGGCGGGTGGAAAAAGTTTAGACTAATTTGTAGGGCATCTGGCAAAAAGTAAAGATAAATTTACTCATTTTTTTTTTTAATTTCTAAAGAAAAAAGCTAAGAAAAAAAAGTGAGTTAGGGGCAGGTGGAGTAGTGCAAAGAAACAATTTTTTTTGGCCTAATCTAAATGAAACAAGCATTGGAAAAAAGGACATCATGAAGGGCATCTGAATTAGAAAACAAAAAACGGACGATGAACAGAGACGATTAGGCATACAAGCTTTCACATCTTCAACCAACTCTTGAAACCTGAAAGGCCGGAGGAATCCGGAACCAATAATTACAGGAATAGAGCTGGCAACAGAGGGCGTTGTTTACACAATGCCAAAATAACTGATAGGCGCTCACATAGACTGACAAAGTCATGTTGATAACATCGACGAAAGCTCACATAACAGTAAGTTAACATCCATTGGTTTCAGTTCTACTATAAATAGTCCTAAATATTTGCTGAAAAGATACATTTAAAAAAAATAAAAATGGTTTCGACAGACGAAATCCAGTAGATGTTACGA